AGAATATCATGGAAAAGTTTATTTATTTCCATAATTCCATTCAAAAAGTTAAACTTTCACAGATTATAGATTCAGGGCCCACAATTTAAACAACCTCAAGTATTTGTTTATTTTTACATCATTTGGGCTTCCAGCTCATGAAACCCTCATTGGTAAAAGAATGTTAGAGATGGAGCTACCAGGTAGGAGACAAAGAGGAGATACACTATATTACCAAAAGTATTGGCTCACCTGCCTTGACTCATACTATGAACTGAAGTGCCATCCCATTCCTAACCCAGAGTTCAATATGATGTCGGTCCACCTTTTGCAGCTATTACAGCTTCAACTCTTCTGGGAAGACTGTCCACAAGGTTGAGGAGAGTGTTTATAGGAATTTTTGACCATTCTTCCAAAAGCGCATTGGTGAGGTCACACACTGATGTTGGTCGAGAAGGCCTGGCTCTCAGTCTCCGCTCTAATTCATCCCAAAGGTGTTCTATCGGGTTCAGGTCAGGACTCTGTGCAGGCCAGTCAAGTTCATCCACACCAGACTCTGTCATCCATGTCTTTATGGACCTTGCTTTGTGCACTGGTGCACAGTCATGTTGGAAGAGGAAGGGGCCCGCTCCAAACTGTTCCCACAAGGTTGGGAGCATGGAATTGTCCAAAATGTTTTGGTATCCTGAAGCATTCAAAGTTCCTTTCACTGGAACTAAGGGGCCAAGCCCAGCTCCTGAAAAACAACCCCACACCATAATTCCTCCTCCACCAAATTTCACAGTCGGCACAATGCAGTCTGAAATGTACCGTTCTCCTGGCAACCTCCAAACCCAGACTCGTCCATCAGATTGCCAGATGGAAAAGTGTGATTCATCACTCCAGAGAACGCATCTCCACTGCTCTAGAGGCCAGTGGCGGCGTGGCTTACCCCATTGCATCCGACGCTTTGCATTGCACTTGGTGATGTGTGGCTTGGCTGCAGCTGCTCGGCCATGGAAACCCATTCCATGAAGCGCTCTGCGTACTGTACTTGGGCTAATCTGAAGGTCACATGAAGTTTGTAGCTCTGTAGCAATTCTGCTCTGTGCGGAAAGTCGGTGACTTGCTTGCTGAGGGGAAGAGAAATAAGTTATTTAAAAGATGGCAGTGTTCCATTTGTTGCCACCTCCTCTGAGGAGCTTTTAAATACACAATAAGCTTTTGGATGGGGGGGATAATGTGTTACTGTTAAAGGAACTGGCAACGGCGGTTGTGCATTAACATACAATTTATTTGGGCCGGGAGGATCGCTACGGGCGTGTCTTCATTTATTACAATTAAACTTAACATATCGGTTAGAGGTTTATGTTCATCGGAGAGGTTGGTCTCTAAGGCATTAGAGGAACATTTTCAGCTGTTGGGAGTGAATATTAATGAGCTGGGGGGGTTTTAGTGTCTGGTCAACTTGCACACTCTGGACGTGGAGCCTGTCAGCTTCTCCGCCGAAGGTGACGAGGACAGCGAGATGGACGTCAGTCACTGAGGTCCGCGACTACAGTCGGACGACACACACCTGCACCGACTCTTCATGTCCACCGGAGGACGGTGTATGACGACAGACCGCTGCAGTGACTTTGTAAACCGGAACTATTATTGATGCTACTGCCGATGTCATTCCATCCAGACGTACTGCGCCGCTGCCTCTCGCTAGCGCTAATACTACAGTACTCGAAGTATGACTAATAAAACATCTTTGTAAATAACTGTGGCTGGATGTCCATTGGTCGACAAGGTCTTGACATGTTACTACGGAATGATCACAGTTCACTGTTCATTTATAGTAGGGATGTCCGATATTATCGACCGACCGATGTTAGCATAATATGTAATATCTGTAAGAATTATCGGTTTTTACTCCGATAATGAAAACCCGATATCGCAATGCCAGGGTTTCACCAAATGACGTGTGACCTAAAAATAATTTTAGAGACAAACAGCTGTATATTCAAGTAAAAGCCACTAGATGGCAGCATTGTATGGTACGGCATCATATCTATACAGTGGTTGGTGTCAGTATCGTTGATATCAAAATCGGAAATCGAAGTGTTTGGACAATATTAGGATATCGGCAAAAAAACGTCAATATCGGACATCCCTAATTCATAGCTAATCTTTACTCTCCCCGATGTTAGCGTCGCTGCTTCAACACAAAGAAACCGATTGTTTTTTGTACAATCAGGCCTTTATTTGAGTATCAGCTCCTGCCTTTGCATCTGTGTCGGAGACAACATGGCCAACAGTTCTCTCACTCTACTCGTTCTTCCCACGGAGAAAGTGATGTGAAAATCTGTCTCGTGGAAAAGAAAAAAAAAGAAGTCACTTTCCTGAATGTGGATCCACAATATTTTTTTTTCCGCAAACAGTGAATAATGGTTGTAAAACGTGTGAAAGCGTGGGAAAAAACGTCACCGTTACTTAACACGTGTTCGACGCCGAGGCTTTCATTTCAGTGTTAAGTGACGGCCGTGTTTTCGCTCTACAGGTAATACGGTTAATATTTACGTCGTCGTTGTCCGTGTGTCGTACAAAGATCGGACTCCTCTGTTGGATCTTCAACCGCCTGTTTACAGTTCGACGAGACAGACAGGTGGGGGGCAGGGGGGGATGTGTGTGTTGGTTTAATAATCATCGATCTTAAACTCGTAGTTATAGTCCAGGAAGGAATCCGTGTAGCCGCCCGGTGTCGAGGACTCTCCCTCCAGTACAGGCCATGGATCGTACCAGGACGTGGTGGTCTCTGGCGTTGTGGGAAGTGGAGTTGTGGTTGAGGTTGTCGTGGTGGTCGTCGGGGGTAACATCGTAGTCGATCTTAACCTCATCAGTCGCTGCTGTCGGAGGCGACGGATACGTGCTATCCTGAGCCTCCTCCGCCGCTCGGGGCTGAGGTGGGAGTTCGGCGAAGGGACGCTGTTGGTGACCACGCGTCTGTTGCCGTCTCGGGCTGCGGGATAGTGAACTCTGTTGTTGCTGTAGCTGAGTCGGATGGGTTTGTTGCCATGGAGAGCCATGATCTGGAGGAAATAAGAAAAAAAGATGAGGTTTAAACGGTGCAGTTTTGGAAAGTAGCTTTGTTTATACTACTATAATATATGTGTATATGTGTGTGTGTATATGCGCATATATGTATATATGTATGTATATATGTGTATATGTATATACGTGTATATATGGGTATATCTATATATGTGTGTATGTGTATATCTATATGTGTATATATATGTGTATATCTATGTGTATATATATATGTGTATATCTATATGCGTGTATATATGTGTAAATATATGTATATGTGTATGTGTGTATATATGTATATATCTGTGTATATATATGTACATATACGTATATACATATATGTATGTACATCTGTGTGTGTGTGTATGTATAAATATATATATAT